AATGTCTTCAAGGTAAGTTTAAACTGTATAGCAGACAATTGTGAACGAAAAAGACTTACCTAAACACCGAAAATAGAATAGTGAGATATGGTAGAGCTTCATCCAATAGTAGTGAAAGAGCAATAATGACGAACAACACGATCGCACCACATACGAACCACGTTCGGTCGGAACGAGCTCTGCGTTGTCCGCCCGACACGATGCCAATCGCTTCGATCAGCAGCGGCCGGTTTGGCTCCCATTCACCTGACATCTATAAAAAGACGCACTGATGTGTCATTGCATATTTTAAAGCTGCTGCATCTAAAAGTTTAACAAACATTCAATATCTAAAATGATACGAGGTGATAGCAAAAAGACTAAGTCAACGCCGATTTACAAAATTTGCTAAGCTCAAATACCACGTTTTCTTTTTAATGCACTTTTTCAGCAATTTTTCATTCTAAACCTAACTGCTTTTTGCTGGCTCTGCTTACCCAATCTCTCTTAGAAGGAACTACACGTTTGTTACATCGATTGAAAAGAAAGGGGTTGCATTTTGCAATGTTCGACATTGCATGCCATTATAATCAAAACCGATGATAGAGAACCCTGCTAACTGCAAAGACTCGCCCTCAAACGAAGATCAACTCCTTCCAATGCCAGTAATGTTATTTGATTTTAATTACTTATACTGTTTCAAGGTCTAAAAATTCGTTCCTAGATTATGCGCAATGTAAATTTCTCCTTTCATTTGAAAATAATCATAACCTAAATCTTTTGACCGCTTCTAACCACTAGATGTGATTTCATGAATTCAAATATAGATTAAGCAGAGTGCAGAATCACAGCTATCTTGATTAATCATGTGTCTATCAGTTGACTAGTCCTGCCATCTAAAATTGGCTTCAAAACAGAAAACCTGATTAGAAGCTAGCTGCGAAAACCCAAAAAATGTCATTAATGGGATGCTCTGACATGTTTGATAGAAATAGAGCTCGTTTCCACAAAAAGGATGCGTAGGGGGAAAAGACAAGCAAGATATGAAAATCACCTGACGATGCTCATTTTCTACCCTAAATTGTGCTTGTAGTCCAACATGGTCGGAAAAGTTAATGTTCTCATCTGGGATCTACAAAAATTATTTAAAGCTACGATATACGAAGTAAATACACATACCTTATTCATCGCGATTTCGCACAGCTCTAAAGAAACTGACATTCGGCCACTCTTGAACAATATATAATCGATCCTTTTGCTTTCATCCTGAACACAAAATTCTGCTTTGATACAACAACAAAAAACTTCTCGCTCTTACTCACATTTTCTCTATAATATTTGGTGGAATAGCAGTTGTCAGGGCGATCGCATGTACCACCGCGATCCACACCTCGATTACAAGAGATGGAATTTGCAGAGATGTTGTCACGAGGAGTCTCGGGATGAGCAAGCCGCCAAGAATCGAGAAGACGCGCTTGGGACAAAATTAACCTAAAACGCGATAGCTAATCGTAAATAGAGTGGACAGAAAGGTGCAAAAACACATAATAAGGAAAGGAAACACTTGTTTTATTCGATGATAATTTGTAAAAAACTCATTAT